TTTTTGTTTTGTTTGTTTTGTTTTGTTTCAACCTTGCTTTCATTGCTTTAGTCACCTGTCAGTGAATAGTGCTGGCTCCCCTCTCTCACTAACCCTTCCCCTCCCACAGCTTCACAGAAAGACCCACTATCTGCTGGAGGACCAGAAACTGTCTCCTCTTCTCAATGCCAAAGATTCCCTTCTCCTCCCTCCTCTTTCTCTCCCCCAGCTCTGCTCAGATGGACAAGCACTGATATCAGCAGAAGGTTAAAGGGATAGTTGGAAATTTTAAGAACGCAGCTCTGCTATGGAGTGAGTTTTGTTCCATTATTGATGCAAGCAAAGATCGCCTGTTCTAAACGGAAATTCTTACATAATTTTTAAAATATGTAAAAAAAATAATAATTTCAAATTTTTATTTAAAAAAAGTTTTTTTTTTTAATCTTGCAACAATAATAAAACAAAATACACCCCATAGTCTAACATCTCACAACTCATTCTAGCATGAATTAGTTGGTCCTGGATGCTAAAGGAAGCAGTTCCCTACTAAAATAGTTCAATACAAACTCTAAGAACATCTAAACATTATGTTTGCATGGAGTATTTATTTGCAAACAAACTGATGATTATTTAAAGAGGAAGTGGAGGTTGGAGGTGGTGCACCACCTATAATCTTGCTGTGTGGACTATCCTCTGATGGAAGTTGGAGAAATAAAAGGTTAGGCAGCATAAAAGTCAATAAAATAGTTTTTACCGAGCCCTCTGTTTTACCTTTATATCAAACAGTTGCTGTTAGTGTTTCTTCAGGAAGGGAATTGGGGGCGCACATCCTCCACACTCGTTTTCTGTGGGACAGGTATGAAGGTTTTTAATAAACCAATGAGATGTTTGTGAGATAAAAAAAAAAACTCCGGCTCCTCTTGAGCTAGCTATTGGCTTCAAATGCAGAACCTTTATTAAAAAAACTAAACGTAACTATCTCTTTAAATCTGCCGCTGCTTTCTGTGTCCTGGCTGAAAAAAGGCGAGGCGGAGGAGAAAAACCAAATGAGAAAAAACCCGCTGGCACACAGATTTTAACACACATCATGTTTTAGTGTTGAACCTTTTCATTCTGTTTGGACTGTTTTGTTTACATCATTATTAATTTGTCTGTTGCTACGACTGTAATGAGTTTGACCAAGATGAGGACGCTGTGATGACATAGATGGAGCTGGTACTAAAACACGTCGGGGTGTAATGATTGTGCAACGGCTGCTGAATCATTCCAGCGGATGAAGAAGTCGTCTGACGATTGCTTGTCATTTCCATCTCAAGCTGGTTTCCGATCAGACCAACCATTAAGGTTGCACATAAAAACCCAGCTTGATGTTCTGGTTTTATGTTAGTTGGAGGAATAAACTAGATGAATTTTCCTCTCCGTCCGGTTTAAACCGACTCATTTTAAGCACAGAGTTTGAACCTGGTAGAAAAAGTTCTTGCTCTGTTTTCTGAAATACAAAAATGCATTTTTACTTTCCTTAACACACGGGTGCTTTTTATGATCACTAAGGCACCTTTTTTAAACTCTGAGCTCCTTTTGCACTGAATGCTAACTAGTGAGAGCTATGCACAATCGTTTCACCCCGCTGGGATTTCACAATGACAGTATTGTTTTACTAACACATCGATTAGAGACAGAAATGAAAAATGCAGCTTTTATTTCTTACGACCCCCCATAATTAAAATCAGCAGAGAAGCACCGGTCAGAGGTTTATTGTTTGATTCCCTCATGAAGCTCCAGGCGGCCAATGCTGACTGTAAATTTATGGAGTCAATTTTGTTCCATTATTGTTGAAAGAAAAAAACAAGTTTTTCTTAATGGGGAAAAAAAATGCAAACCAGGAATGAAACTTTGAAAAACTTCTTAATGAAAACAAGTTTTTACAGTTATTTGTCATTTTCTCAGATTTCGTTTTATCAAATAATATTTATCAGATTTTATTTTTTCGATATGAAAATTGAAATAATTTTTTTAAATGTTAGAATTCATATTTTAATGGACCTTCAGCCAAAAAGAGGAATTTGAAAAATAAGAAAAAAGATTAGAGAATGATACATTGAAGACATAAAATGTGTAAAAAAATAAAACAACCTGAAATAAAAAAAAAATTTGTTTGAAAACATCAAAGTTAGCCATAAAAAGCTTTATTAATGAAGTTACATTTCTCGATTGCCTATTCCCACTTTAGATCATTTTACTTACCTTCTTAAATCAAGAGTAAAAACAATAATCGCAAAGAAAATTTGATGCGTTTTTAATTCACTTTTTGCACCTTTGGCTGATGATTAGCACAGTTAGCATTACTAGCTTCGAACAGCAGATTTCGGTCTTACAGATGTTGTACAGAAAGGTTAGAACCTTCATGAAACTTCTAGAAGTGACTCGACTTGAAAACAAGTGTCATGAAACCACAGCAGTAGAAAAGGGTAAAAGAGAGGAGCAATTGGAAGCTACTGCTGTTTGCTCCATATTTAAACAGCCGCCCTGTTTTCATAATTAAACGGTTTCCTCTAAGCAGGATCTTTCTTATTCCTTTGACTTCACTGTCAAACACCTCACAGATGCTGGGGTTTACAGTCTTCCTCCCTCATTGCAAACTTCCACACCGAAGAGTGCAGCCAGTGCCACCTGCTGGCTTTCAGGTGTGATAAACTCACTAACTGAACAAAGCAAAGGAGCTTATAGTTTTCTGAACCAGTGGTGTTGCTGATGGGGCTGAAATCAGCCGGTTCCATCCAGGAGCGGATCTCTGGGTGCTTCTCCATAAAGCTGAGGCTCTTTCCTCCTCATTCCATCCTGAAAACGTCACGTTTTAGTGTCATTTTAGCCAATCGGCCGAAGCAGCTTCTAACTGATTACGTACAGCATGGTATTAGTTACAGTCCAGACATACGGGGCTTTCTTAGCAGAGCAGCAGGCTAGTATTAGACGGACTGCCATATTGTGTTTATTCAGATGACAGTATTGTTTTTTTATGTTTACCCTGAAAAACACGAATGAACTGATTATGAAATAATTTTTCTACTAGAAGCAATAACATAAAGCATTGTGAGCCTGCTTGAGTCTCTATGGCTCCTTACTGTGTCAGTATTGGAAGTGAAGCTCTGATTGGTTGCTGAGTTCATGGTCTTTGGGATTTTACCAAACTGAAACTTGTTGTTTTGGGAGCTTTTATTTTTTTTTTAAACAACAGATCCTAATTCAGTTTTAACCAGTATTGATGATCGTGGCAGATCAGAGAGGGAGAGCGATCCAACTGGACCAGAGCCACGCCCCCTACGCAGCTGCTTGATCTCCTTTATCAGTGATCCAAAGGTCAAAGCTGAAATGCTGTTTTTATTAACGCTTCATTATTGGCAGGAGAAACTTTTATTGTGAAATACTGTTCGGGTTTTAACCAAACACTTTGCTAAACTCTGAGTTAAAGCCTGGCTCTGGTTTAGTGTGCTTAGTTGAAAAAATAAATAAATACAACTTTGTGATTTATAAGTAATCTCATGAATATTGGTTATGCATGATCCTCCATGTGGATATATATATAGCTGAACTGATGAATGAATGAATGGAAACGAAGCCAAATGTAACCTGAAATGTGGCTGCAGGTGAATGAATGAATGTGTGAGCGGGTGAGTGTTGGAAAATGAGCAGTTTTTATGAAAATCAATAAAGAATGAAATCATAGAAGACTTGAATGAGTGAACAAAGTGTACAGATTGATGTTTATTGAATCCAATAACTCATCATGTCTGGTGATTAAACTCTAAGATGGATTGCAGACAACCAGCCTTGTTACTCGCTTTATTACAAACACACACAAACAAACACTCACCTGCTTCTAGAGGGAAATAAACCAGAATGAGCAGCTCTGACTCCAGAGTTTTGAAGTCACTTTTTTCAATCTAGATGGGTTTTTTTCATGCAATTAGGTAGAAGTCTCAAATTTCAATTTATTCAGTATTCGGATGTCATTCCAAGCAACTTTCACTGAGTTTTTTATTCCCATTTCCAATGATCATGACCACTAAATGGAAATAAAAACTAAAGGTTATTGTAAATCCAAATAAAAGTAAAAAAAAATACAGTCCAGAAATGCATTTTTTCAACATGTCAAGATCGGAAAGGATTCAATAGAAATTTGCTGTTCTCTTCAATTTTTGCAGATTTTTTATTTTTCCATATTTTTTCAAACAGAATTTTTTCAGTGGGCTTTTTTAGAATATTTTAAATGTTTTAATTTAATTTCTTCAAATATATCTTTTATATTTTGAGCTTTATGTTTAGCATCTTTTCAAATAGAATTTTACAGATCTAATGTTCATTTCAAACCCAACAATAATAATGTTCCAGATATATTTGAAAACAAAGTGTGTGTTTGAAAAAAAAAATAATGAAAATAAATGAGAAAAGACAAATGTGGTTACTTTCAAGCTTACTTTGATAAAGAAGTTTATAAAAGTGTCATTGATGGCATTTTTTAGTTTATTCGTTCCAACAATGACAGGAATTCCCTCCATACTTCACTGAAACGTCACATCCATTATGCAGACACATCAATCCCAATCATCAAAGTTCAACTTTTTTTTTATGCTGTTAGTTTTCCACCTATGGAAACCTCCAGATATTTGTAGCAGATCCTTGTGTTTTTTAAGATGAGAAAAAAGTTAAATCACGTTTCCCTAAAAAGTTTTTTTTTTTTTTTTATGCTGAAAATGATCTTTTCCTCTCACTAAGCAATGGAGAATTATTACTGACATAGCAAATAAAACTAATTTATTATTCAACCAACTTTTAATAGTAATTTCAATTGTTTTTTAAAATGACCTTAGTTCCAACTTTGCCATCATTTTAATGTAGAAGGTGTCCTTATATTGATCTGAGGTATGTATGCCTAAACATGGCTTATTTTTTTCCTTTGCCGGGTTAGCGGCGTAAAGCTAGGGTGACAGCAGCTGTGTTTTTCTGTGGTGTTTAAACCTCAGGGTGCGCCGACCTCCACCTGCTGGACATGCTGAGTCCGATGGAGAGAAAGAGGCAGGGCTACGTCCACGAGCTGATCGTCACAGAGGAGAACTACGTCAACGATCTGCAGCTCGTCACAGAGGTAAACACCAGGGTTTATGACGCCATTTCTTCAGAGCGCCTTTATCTTGCTGTTTTAGAATAAAGCTACAGGTTGACACTTCTTTAACTGCTTTTAAACAATTGTTTTTAAATATATAATTTCTAGAATTGGTTGTTAACAAGAATGGCTGATAATCACTTTATATGGGGGCAATTCTAGGATGTTTTCAGATATTTTCTCTTTTTAAGGATCTAGGGTTGGTTTAACCCCCAGTGCAGATTCTGTCGTTCTGTTTTATGTAGGAGATCAACATTATGGACAAATTTAGTTCCTTAACATTTGAATAAATGCAATATAGAAAGAAAACTTTGAATAACTAATTCAGGAAAAAAAAGTTTTCAAAGTAACATAGCTGTTTCCTCAGATTTTTTTTTTTCTATATCTTATATCGCCATATCTTTTTTTCAGATTGGATTTAAGATATTGCATTCTTTTCTTTAAATGTTTTCCTCACTTAAAGCCCATTACTGTCGCTCACTCTTGACCAATAAACATGCTGTTAATCTCCAGCAGACCAATAGAAATACTTCTTCACTGCTCACTCCAGAGGAAAGCCCGCCCTCAGAGGGGAAGAACACAATTCATAAACTCAATGGGAAAAAACTACATTTGAAAAAATATATATATTCTTTTATTTTAGATATTTCTCAAAGTTTCATTCCTGGATTACTTTCTCTGAGAGATTTTTCTCTCACAACAATAGTGGACCAAAATTCACTCCATCCCCTGAGTTAATACTAGTAAGGCCACCTTTTAGGCGAAATCACAACAGCTCCATGCTGTTAAGTCTTAATGTAGAAAATGTCTGTTAAATGATTTTTAATTTCCATTTACACAGGATTTCTGCGGGTCATTAAAAATCATTAAAAGTAATTAATTATTTTTTAAATTAAGGCCTTAATTGGCATTAAAATTCATTAAACGTGATTATCATGGCTTTTAAAATGCTTTATATATATATATATATATATATATATATATATATATATATATATATATATATATATATATATATATATAAAAATGTGGTCAAATATATCAGATTTAACTGGATCCACATGTTTGCGTGGAACTGCTCCTGGTTGAACCTAAAGTCATATGTTCGGAACAGAAACTCGAGGCACAGAAAAAGCTAGAAAATGGAAAAATGCTAATTTTAACATAATTGGCTGAAAAACGAGAAATTCAGGACATGGCTGCAGTGTTTATATATATATATATATATATATATATATATATATATATATATATATATATATATATATATATGAGAGTAATGGGTACTTATTGATGGCATTAAAATGATTTCTAAGAGCATTAAAAGAGCATTAAAAAAACATTAAATTAGAGTTGTTCCTTCCTGTATAAACCTGTTACAAAATGCATCCTTTTTGGTCAACAATAATGGAACAAAATTCCCTCCTACACCAGGGAGGAGGAAGAAATCCTTGGTGCTCTAACGGCAGCCGTTAGTTGTTTCTCTCCTGTTTCCGTAGATCTTCCACAAGCCGCTGCTGGACTGCGAGCTGCTGACGGAGAAGGAAGTGGCCATGATCTTTGTCAACTGGAAAGAGCTCATCATGTGCAACATCAAACTCCTCAAGTAAGGAAAAAGGTTCAGTTCCTCAGACACACTGATGTGAGGCGTTCTGAGGTTAGAGACAGTGACACGGTGCCGTTTCCTGGCAGGGCTCTCAGGGTGAGGAAGAAGATGTCTGGAGATCGGATGCCTGTGAAGATGATCGGCGACATCCTGACCAACCAGCTGCCCCACATGCAGCCGTACATCAGGTCAGGAAGGCGATCTGACTCGGTCTCAGGAAGGCCTTAAGGTGCACGGTAGTGAGGCAGCCATCTTTGTTTGTGTTGTCAGGTTCTGCTCGTGTCAGCTGAACGGGGCCACGCTGATCCAACAGAAAACAGATGACAATCCTGAGATCAAAGACTTCCTCAAGGTTAAACTCTAAATCTGTTTATGCTGTTAAATTAAAGCCAGATTTACCTCCTGAGAAAACATTTAAATAGCTTCAAAACTCCAGTGTGGAGGAGAATAGAAAAAGAAAAGTGAGGTTGGATTGTTTTCTGCTTCCATCAGAGGTTAGCCATGGATCCCAGGTGCAAAGGAATGCCTCTGTCCAGTTTCCTCCTCAAACCGATGCAGAGAGTCACACGCTACCCTCTCATCATCAAAAATGTTGGTATCCTACAGAAACATGGAAGATTCATTTGGCCCTCTAATCCCTGTGAGATGAATGTTTTTATTTGATGTTTTGATGACAGATCCTAGAAAACACTCCAGAGTCTCACCCAGACCACAGCCATCTGAAAGCTGCGCTGGAGAAAGCAGAGGAGCTCTGCTCACAGGTGGACCTTCAGAAACACACACTGAGGCAGGCGCCTGCAGCTGGAGGACTGTTTTAGCTGATAATAGGTTTTGGCTGCAGGTCAATGTTTATTTTAATATCTAGTCTTTTTCTGCTATGCGCCCTCCCAGCTGCGTCTCTTTGGCTACGTTCACACAGAAGACGAATGTGACCCAAACCAAAAGACCTTGATCAAACTCTCGAGTTCTGATCATTTCATCCACCAAGCACTCGGATTTGAGCCACTTCTGTATGTGAAACTAAATCAGATCTGATGCTTTTCAATGCGGCTGCAGTCTGAACGGTCATTTTATCTCACTTTTACATCATTACCAGTCCTGCAGCTACACAGACAGCTCCCTGCAGCACAGCCGCTGGGCTTTTAGAACTTATGCTGTTTGTTCTCACCTTCCTTCTTTGTTAATAAAGTTTATTTCCACTACTTAAAGGTTAAAAGATGGAAATGTTATTGTAATCCAAAGGGGGGCCCAGAAGAAAATCTTTGGGAACCACTGCCTTAAAGGAAATGTCTGATCAGCAAGCAATAATCAATGGATCATTATTTATACCTAAAACTAACACATTTGCGGAGATTTAATGAATTTAGCGTTAATCAGGAAAAAAAATTAATATTAATTTTCGTTGCGATCACTGAGTCTGGGAGCGGCCATTTTTGCCCAAATATAGTAGCCCCTCCCTCCTGCCATCTTCCAGCAGTGACGTCACGGTGCGGTAAGCCTAGCGCCATTCTCCCCGCTTTACAAACTAAATCAATGGGAACTACTAGGCACATCTGCAATCAACAAAAATTATTGAAGATTTCCAGAGGACTTCACCATTGAAATTCACCAGAGCTATAGTGAAACTGACAATGCCCACGTGCATGGCAGCTGGATGCTGCAATACATCGGGGAAAAGTGAAAAAAAGAGTTATTCCACCTTTCTGATTCCTGATCCTCCACGGACGGGTTGGTCGTTGGATCGCCAACTTGAAGAGGGAGGATTTGCCATCGAACTTCTGGCCAGAGAAAAAACCCGTAATATGTAGCCAACATTTGGAAGAAGAATGTTTTCAAGATGACTTGGATAATAGCGCGTTGTGACAAACACCAGATACAGCACTGGGACTTGATCAACAGCCGATACCGCACCGTGACGTCACAAACCAGTAGGTGGCAGTAGTGTTCTTTGACAAACATGGATGCCTCCAGTAAAGCACATTCAGATGGAAATTACTCTGAATTAAAAACACTGATCATTTATTGAAAAGGATGGAAGAATTTCATATTTAAAGTACTTTCCGAAGTTTGAATTTTAAACATGAGCGCACTTTTCCTGTAAGACTTTAAATCCTGTAATTAGGACTTTAAATTGTATCACTATAATTTTGTAAATCTCATAATTAAAGCCTGTCATGTTTCATTTTTTTACTTTCTAGTAGCAATAATGAGTTTCCATAGAAACGTTTTCAGCTCCCTCTGTTTAATTGGATTACAAAGGTTTAATAACACAGACAGCAGCATCCAGTGCTTTGTGTTAGTTTTTTTCAATTAAGCTTTATTGAACACTTCAAATGACAATCACACTTAATTTTTTTTCCTTTTTTTCATATTCCATTAAAAATGATCAGACCAAAAAAAAGCATCAAAAGCCGCAGCGTGAGCGTAGCCATGGATCATCCAGTGATGTGAGCTGGAGGCGCACATCAATCTCCTAAATAATGAGGAAAATGTAGCTTTCAAAATATTTTACACCATCTTTAAATTCACAAAATAAACTGGCTTGTTTTATAAAACTCATCCACTTTAACTTGGTGCAGAATCTTTGAGCAAAGTAGACGTATTTTCTATCACTTTTTTAAAATCATTTATCTATTTAATTATCTTCTACAATCATTCACTTATACCCTCATTTTGATTGAAATATCTGCAAATATGTATTTATTTAATTGTGTGCTGTAGAAGGATGTGTGTGAGGTGTTGATGGTTTATGTTTAAAGGTGAACGAAGGCGTCAGAGAGAAGGAGAACTCTGACCGGCTGGAGTGGATCCAGGCTCATGTTCAGTGTGAGGGGCTCTCAGAGGTACGGCATCAGCAGACACCTCCTCATTTTCACACAGGGCTGGACCATATGGCCAAAACTTCTACATCACTATTCCTACATAGTTTGATCACGTTATCATTTTGTAGCCAAAACTAACCTAACTTATCAATTCTCCTTCTTCCAAAACATCAGTTAGCTTTGAATGCTGTAACTAGAGATTTCAGCAAAATAAGCTCAAACGTCAAATCACGGTTAATGAATTACGGTCCTGCCCCATTTCCACGGAAACACCAGTGGGGTGACTGTGAAAAGGTTATTTCTAAAACTTTATTCTTATACTTAAAAGTGATTAAAAGATACAGTATAAGAAAGTCAAATAGAATAGAAAATCCCTTTATTGTCCCACAATGGGGAAATTCTGGTGTTTACAGCAGCAAAAAGATTCTAGAAAAAAATGGTCACATGGATATGGACCTTAGAAAAATGTATAAGAATAACATAATAGTGAAGAGTTGAAAAATCTACAAATGACATGCTTTACTGTAAAGTGTTTGAACAATATAAAACTGTTCACCTGGAGAATAAATAACCAATATGCAGCTATGAACATTTTTACAGTAATGAAAATGTGAAAATAGCAGCAACATCAGAGATGTGCAGAATGACAGCAGCAGGTTATTTAACTGACTGAGGTAGAAACTGTGCAGAATCAGCATGAATGGAAGAACTGATTGAGGTTGTTGGGATCAGTGGTGGTTATAAAATCTTCCAGCTGCTGGGAGGAAGGATCTGTGATAACACTCCCTGGTGCATTTAAGGTGCAGCAGTCTGTCACTGAAGGAGATCTCCAGTTCAGCACCAGCTTCATGCATGCGTTTATTTGTATTATTAGACGGATTCATCAACTAGCAAAATGATAGTTGGTTAAAGCCCATTCCCGGTCTGTTGAGTCAGATGTGAACCAGAGTAGCAGCATTAAGATCTATTAGTAGTTTAGTAGTTAAAGCAGTTTTAAATGGATCATTGGTCAGATCAATACAATGTAAAACTTCAAGTATTTTGTTGTTGCTGTGCTTTGATCTCACTAGTAACTAGTAACTAAAAAAAAATATATTTTTTTGTAAAAGAGCTCAAAGGAATCTCTTCATGTCTTTTAGCAATTGGTGTTTAACTCGGTCACCAACTGTCTGGGTCCCAGGAAGTTCCTCCACAGCGGCAAGCTGTTCAAAGCGAAGAGCAGCAAGGAGCTCTACGGCTTCCTGTTCAATGACTTCCTCCTGCTCACTCAGGCCAGTCCTTACTTTCACTTCCCTTATTTTATGAGTCAACATCTTTACAAAAGGTTGGAGCTACTGATATAGAGCAACATGTAGATGGAGCCATTTCAACAGACAAAAAAAGAACATTGAAGAGCCCAGTGAGCTTCCCTTTATCTGTTTTCTCTGAAGCTGACTGCTGGCTGAAGACATTTAGTCTGCAGGAAATCTTTGGATCTGTTTGAAACTAACTGTAACTGATTGTCAACAGGTCACCAAACCTCTGGGCTCCTCAGGTTCAGACAAAGTCTTCTCCTCCAAAACCCACCTGCTGTATCGCATGTACAAAACGGTGAGATCATTAATTGGGTGAAAAGTCCAGATTTGAGCCTGTTTCCCGACTAAGCAGGAAGTAATTGTCCTTCTTGTTTCCGTCAGCCGATCTTTCTGAACGAAGTGTTAGTAAAGCTGCCAACGGATCCTTCAGGAGACGAGCCTTTGTTCCACATCTCTCACATAGACAGAGTTTACACCCTCAGGGCCGAAAGCATCAATGAAAGGTACCAAAAAACCAGCCACAGATGTTCAAAAAAAGTTCAAAAACAATCCACTGGACTTTGTTTCCTAGTTTGAAGACGTTTCTCTTCCCATCCAGAAAGATTTTTCTGTTCAAATAGTCAGAAATAGTGTTGAGTTCCATGCTTTATACAGTAGCCCAACAAAACCTTGTTTTTGTTTGGAAAACATGCAAATTGGAACAGACAAAAGGGTCCACCACTTTGGAATGGGGGGCATTTGGCTTTTTGTTAGCCTGCAATGCCCCATATAAGTGTCTGAAAGGGGGGTTTGTTAAACGGAATTGTTGGCCTGGCTGAGGAGGCGAGGTCTGTTCCCCTGTAAAGGGGTTGGGGTTGCGATAATGGCAGGAAGGGATCAAGGGATGGGAAGCGGAACATCTTCAAACTTGGAAACAAAGTCCAGTAGATTGTTATTTTTTTTTTTTTTTTTTGAATGACTGACTGAGAATCTTCCCCAGTATAGTCCACAGATGTTATGTCCCAGGAGCTCATTTGATCTTTAAATAAGTCCAACTTTACACCTTAAACTCAGTGACAGAGACTGGATCTATGTGCAGCCACGAGGAACAAACCCTGTTAATAATTACATGCTTTCCTCTGTCTTCACCTCCATCCAGGACGGCCTGGGTTCAGAAGATTAAGGCTGCTTCAGAGCTCTTCATAGAAACGGAGAAGAAGAAGAGGGAGAAGGCATATTTAGGTTTGTGAGCTCATTCAGCTGCTTTCCTGGTTTTAATAAACAAATGTGGCTGACGTGGTGCTCCTGGTCTCAGTCCGTTCTCAGAGGGCCACGGGGATCGGCAGACTCATGGTCAACATCGTGGAGGGGATCGAGCTCAAACCCTGCCGCACCCATGGTTCGTAAATACATTCAGAGAGCCAGGAAGCCTCTCTCTAACAGAAAGAAGCATCACAGTAGCTTCTTTATCTGCTTTTAGCTCATTAATCATTGGTTTTTCTGTTTGAAGGGAAAAGCAACCCTTACTGTGAAGTCACCATGGGTTCTCAGTGCCATATCACAAAAACAGTCCAGGTAGGATAACAATTCCTAAACTTATGCTTTTCATGGATAAAAGTGAGAGAAAAACAACTCATTCTGGTTGGAGGTGAAAGTGAAAATGGAACAAGAAGAAGGAAAATCTCATCTGAGGATGATTTAGTCGAAAATGAAACAAAGATGTTGTTTAAAGCCTGCAGACCTTTTCATGTGTTTACAAACAAATATTAAAGGTTCCCTTTAAGAGTGAGACGCAACATTACTGAACCATTTTATCTGATACACCGAAATGAAACAGAACTAATGTTACATCCTAGAGATCCACCCATACAGTATTTTTTCTAAGCCAGTACCAATCCGGATTACTTTGACATCCGTCCAGCCTGGGGGTCCTCAACCTGTGGAACCTCTGCAATGGCTCTCAGAACAAAAAGGACCGGCGTTGAAGCTCTGGTTGTTGTTTTTTTCTAGACAATATTTGATAGAAGTTTCACAGCAAAATGACATGTTTTTATTTGTGTGTTGTTGTTTTTTTACATTACATAAAAATCTGTAGTAGAAAATGCTGGTGAAGATTCTTATCCACGTTTTGCTTCCCATCCAGGAAGCTTTTTCATTTCAAAGCTTCCTGGATGGGAAGCGAAACATCTTCAAACTTGGAAACAAAGTCCAGTGGATTGTTTTTGAATATAGTAGACAATCCATGCTTTATTCAAAGGTTATATAATTTTAGCGACTCTAAAACACTTCTCTCAGCTGGACTCAGAACAAAATGGCACTTTGGATTTTAAAGGTGTCAGACGCCGAGTTTAGCTGATTACCTCTAGGTGCTGCTGATCTACTGGGGATCAATTTTTCAGTTTCTTACTTATCTATAGGGTTGGAAATTGATAAGATTTTCACGATTCCGATTCTCTTATCGATTCTATTATCGATTCAGTAAAACAATGAACTTGGTGAGTTCACGGTGACATTCGTCTACCTTCGCCTGGAGCATTCTATTTCTGTGTCAGCGAAAACAAGACAGTGAACGGGAGCTGCAGCGTCTGAGCCAACCAGCTGACCCTGCTCATCACAGTCATCTAAATCTAATGGAGAAGGAATCCGTTTAATGAAAAAGCATTACTGTACAATAAACTTATCTCCCCTTGATTTAAATAAACGAGCGTCACCTTTTTCTCGCCCCCTGAACTGCAGAGCCACTTCATAGCATGTTTAATAACCCCAAAGAGAGGTAGGAAACTGATTTATTTCCAAAAATGTCATATGATTCACTAGGAACCACATTAAGCACAGCCAGTGATATAAACTAGCTACTTACCACCAGTTTGCCTCCATGCTGGTCGTAACTTTAGCTTCGGTCTGGAAGCATCAAAAAAACGGCATTCATTAAAACCTATGCCATGTTGTGTGTGCAGGTGTTTCTGCATGTTGGATGTATTTCCTCCCGTGGATGTAATAATTTCAAAGCGCTTTGTTGCCATCTTTCCCTTCCTAAAAATGAAGCCAAACTTTCGATCGCTTTTCCCTGATGGGACGCCTTTTTTTTTGTTTTGCTTTTCTAGACTTACGCCTGGTCAAGTCATACTTGCTTACTGAATGCCGTGTGCGTAACTTGTGTAAAAAATGTGAAGAAAGCCGTGCTGCCCAGCACTAGGCTCTGGTGCTGCCTGGAATCATTAACCCTTATATTATGTTGAAAAAAAATGACATCCATTATGCCGATGGCGCCACTGCTGCTTCAACCACGTCAGCCCCTTCTACCCAGGGGGCTACCACTCTCACAGCATCGTCATCATCGTCCTCTTCCTCCCCTGAACCAGGAGAAGCAAGTGCTTCAGGAGCTGGAGGTAGTAGCAGCAGCTCAACAACAACTGCTGCTTACCTTACCAAGGCTGCACTTTAAGAAAATAAATTTCTGTTCTAAACAAAATTTCTTTTTGTCTACACTTGTGTATACAAAATGATAAAATAAATCTAAGTCAGCAGGGCTGTTGCAAACCTGTGAGTTTCATTGTAGTGGAAGCCTAGACTGCTAAATAATTTGGGCCGCAACATAGTATTCCTTCTGTGGGATTATTTATTTATTTATTGCTGAATATTTTTAAAGGACCGACGTTCTATTAAATGTATTCATCCAAATCCAACTATTAAATGTATTAATCTTTATTGTAGAATTGATTTGATAGAGATATACCTGGCATTCAGCAGCAGCTAGATCCTACTTTACTTCCAGCTTTTTATTGTCATTCCACTGTCACATACAGCGCAAGGAAATTCCCTCTTTGCATTTGACTCATCCCCTTGGGGAGCAGGGGGCTGCCATTGTGCAGCGCCCGATGAGCATGTGGGGTTAAGGGTCTTACCGTAAAAATTCAAATTGAATTGAGAAAGCTTCCTGGATAGGTGGCGAAACGTCTTCAAATCTTGGAAACCAAGTCCAGTGGATATTTTTTGAATTTTTAAGGAAGGACTATGACCTGGATGACTGAGAACCTTAAGGGTCTTAGTTCAGAGACCCAGAGTGCAGGCAGAGGGGATCGAACTTGGTACTTGCAACCTTCTCAGAGCAGAAGCGCACTGCTCTAACTATTAGGCCAACGCTCCCCCTAATACACCAGAACAGTAGAATTTTGATTAATCAATAAAATGTTAAATTTTGTTTACTCACTGAAATCTACTGGAACATCCAGCATCCAGCAGGCTGAGATGCTATAAGCGCCCAAACAAAATATAAAAATAATGAATGCATTCCTTTTTCACTTTTTTATCATTACTATATTTATTTGCTCACTTTCTTCATATTATGTAACGAAATTCAGTTGGGACAAATCTTATGTTTTCATTGCTGGTTTCAGGTTGTAAAATGATGCATTCAAATTAGAAAAATATGTTATGTTCTATTTGATTTACAGTTTATGTTGGATTTTATTTTACACACTATAGATTTTACTGTGCACCGACAGGGGACATTGGTGCTCACACTGTTAGTCTTTAGATGCCATTTATATCCAGGTCAGTCATTGTCTGGGGGCCCGGCAGCCGGGGGCCCTAGGCAATTGCTTGCCTTGTTGCTACGGGCCTTGCTGTAGAGAATGTGAATTCAATGTCAGCCTCATGGTTGTTTCTATTTTTGTTGGCAGGACACCTTGAATCCCAAGTGGAATTCCAACTGTCAGTTTTTCATTAAGGACCTTGAACAGGACGTCCTCTGCATCACTGTGTTTGAGCGAGACCAGTTCTCACCTGACGGTCCGTAAACCTTTCACACCCTTTCAGATCATCCGTTGTTAGTGTTATCAGGGATTTTCCATTTTTCTTACCGCCATCGTGTCTCTGCAGACTTCCTAGGCAGGACTGAGATCCGATTGGCTGAAATTAAAAAGGACCAGGGATCCAAGGGACCAATCACCAAGAGGCTGCTGCTACACGAAGTTCCCACAGGAGAGATCGTGGTTAGACTGGACCTCCAGCTGTTTGAAGAACCATGAAACGCACCAAGGGTTGGACCAGAAGGGACTGGACTAAGCGCTGACCTGGGGGAAATGAACTGGGAACTGCAGCCAGACTGGAATGGACTGGACCAGAACCCAGGAACAGGCTGAGGTTACTCATTATGCAGTTAAAGCTTAGGGAGGCTAATGTGCTAACATAACTAAATATCACCATTATCACCTTTTTTATTATTTGGAAGACGGTAGCAATAAATGGGAGTATATGAGGTTTAACGAGGTAGATTAAAAAAAGATAAAGTTTTTTTTAACAGTTAGGGTCCTTAAGTTCTATTACATTCACTGCAAATATTTAGGATGAATATAAAGTATAGATTTAATAAAAAGCAGCCAGAGAGGATTAGATGTTCTCTATTTACTGCTAACAAACGCAGACCTGAGCTCCACTCACATCTAATCAGTCCTTTTCCTGCTTCAAGATTTTAAAGAAACAGTTTTATCTGTTTTAGCTAAGATGAAGTCATTCCAGCAGACGATCCAAGGCCTGTTTCTGGTCCAGTTAATCCCAGTCTGCTCATCTAGTCGGTTGAACCTGGGACTGCTGTTTCTGCCTCCTCTGCTTTATCCAGATGACAATCCCTCCTTTCTTGTCTCCCTCCAAACATAACGGTTGTGTGTGACTGATTAGAAAGGTTTTTTTTTTATTAGTCCAACCAGCTTCTCAGACTCTTAACTCTTTTTTTATTATTTTAATCTGAGCTGCAGAACCTAAAGGGATCTGGACATTTTTCTTTTAACTTTAACTGAACAGTCTTCTCAGAAAGTGCTTAATATGTACAGGTGTATTGAAAATCACGATAATAAGCTGAAAACAAATCAGATTTTAACCAAGTATATGATAAGTGTTCAATGGAAATGATCCACCACGTGTCTCCATTTGCAGCAGATGAAGTGACAGTCAATGCAGTGAACAGGTACGAAAGCTCATTTCAATCAAGGTACTGTGAACAAGAATGTCTTAACTTTTTTTTTTTTGTCACACATCTCAACTCTGACGTGTTGCTGCTGAGTTAAGCTGTCATTACTATGCAGGGGGGTAAATTGAGGGCCGATGGGTTTGGGTTTTCAGAGAAGCTCGGTTAAACATTTATTTCCAGTTTAATGCTGAAGAAGCTCAGCACAGAAATCCTACTAATATACGTCAAACAAGCAGACACTGCTCCGGGAATTTTAGCATAAATTTGTCAAAGTTGATTTTGTCCATTGGCGGCCATTTTGAATAGTCAGAGTCCAAAAGGGATCCTGAAAGTTAAAACATTCGGTCAAAAATTGATTGACTGGTTTAATAGATGTTTTTTTTAATAGATCTGATCAGTGGCAATGTTTGAAATATTTAAGACTTGCTGAAGCTTTAGATGAACATATTAACCTAACAAAGACATGTATTGGTCTTTGATATGGACAATTTTAATCTAATCCAGCCTTTACAGGCAGGACGTATAACGTATATGTTCATCAACAAGGTCAAAGCTAAATAAGATTTTTCATTTAGCTTTTAATGCTGGAATTAAAAACCATCATTATAGCTATGTACAATTATAAAAACAGTTAAAAGCCGTTCATTATTCGTTTTTCTGTTTGCATATATTTAATACAGATTAAAACATTTTGTCCAGCAACAAGCTTTGCAGAACAAAACAAGCCAAAAGTAAGACCCTAAAAATGACAGATAAAAGTGGAAAATAAACAAAACACACCAACTGGTTGATCAACCACTGAATCCGATTTGAATATTAAAATCTTACAAAAAAAGATTGTTTAATTATTGAAATAAGAATATCTGCATATACAACAAAGACATTGAAGAAATAATATCTGGGATGTAGAAAAACAGACATATTGTGAGTGGCATTTTTTGTGTGCAAGCACAGATATCTAAAATTTTAACCAGGCAAAAGGCAGCTATTGAGAAAAAAAAGGTGACACAGAATAGTGCCTTGAGGAACGCCACATGTGAGCTATGTTCGGATTTATAATTCACCGAATGATGAAGGATATCGATATCAAAGCAGAAGTGGTTTAAGTATCACTGCTAAGATGTTTTGGTTTAAACTTTTTAACAAGTAGTGTGTCTCTCCACCACAAAGTTGACTAGAAAAAGCCGCAGAGAGACGGATAAAAATCCTCAGCTAAAGGTTAAAATTTGTGAGAAAGTTTTTTGGCTAAAAAGCTACATGAAGTTCATGTAAGATGAACAGATGGAAAATTATGCAATTTATTATTTCTCGAATCATCTAATAAAGCTTTCATGGTTGTCAAATGAAAATTTGAAAAAAAGCCAAGACTGAAAGCTGATTAGTCCTCGTTCATTTACAGAGAACATGCTAACATCTCTTGGAAAGTATTAGCTCTTAAACCACTTCACTTTTTAGCATATCATTGACATGATTACTACATTCAAAATAATCAGGAATAGATCTTCATCTAAGTTAAATGCTCTGAATATTCAAAATGGCAGCTAAGTTAGCTAGCAGGACAGCTAACAACAGTGTAGTTTTAGATGTGGTATTTAGCTTATTGCTTTAGTTGTTTTTCATTTAATACCAAGATCACAGGTATATTCTAAATAACCAATATCAAAACAGCTTAGTGACCAGCCACTGTCTAAACAGCAGCTTAAATGTTTGCGAAAGATATGAACGAATGTTGGCGTTTTTGTCGGACTGAAATCGGTAAAGATGAGCATAAATGATTTCCCTTCTTAACTTTCCCTTCACACCGTACTGAAGCTAACCCAGTCCAGTTTGAGCCCGCTCTCACTGTCTTTACCTTCCAGGTTGTGTATATTACTGCTGTTACCTGAGAGTTAATATATGAGGAGCTTTAACAACAAGCCTGTTGTTAACTATCACTGTAGAAGATTATGTACGTACTTGTCTTTCAATGTTCAGAATAAAATTCATTTGGACCAAGACTGGAGCTCATTGTTTTGTGTGGGAAGTTTTAATTTAAAGCAAATGCAGCAAATACACAGCTGTCAGAAACGTTTGGCCCCCTGCTGGCCGCTGCGGAGAGCAGTGTTAAAAGAAAAGTCCGGTAACATCCAGAATACAAACTTCTTAAAGTACTTTAAATATGAAATTATTATATAGTGTTCAATAAATGATACTGTAAGTGTTTTTAATTCAGAGTAATTTCCATTTGAATGTGTTTACTGGAGGCATCCATGTTTGTCAAAGAACACTACTGCCACCTGCTGGTTTGTGATGTCACGGTGCGGTATCAGCTGTTGATCAAGTCCCAGTGCTACTGCCACCTGCTGGTTTGTGACGTCACGGTGCGGTATCGGCTGTTGATGAAGTCCCAGTGCTGTATCTGGTGTTTGTCACAACGCGCTATTATCCAAGTCATCTTGAAAACATTCTTCTTCCAAATGTCGGCTACATATTACGTGTTTTTTCTCTGGCCAGAAGTTCGATGGCAAATCCTCCCTCTTCAAGTTGGCGATCCAACGACCAACCCGTCCGTGGAGGATCAGGAACCAGAAAGGTGAAATAACAAATTTTTCCACTTTTACCCGATGTATTTTAACATCCAGCAACCATGCACGTGGGCATTGTCAGTTTCACTATAGCTCTGGTGAATTTCAATGGTGAAGTCCTCTGGAAATCTTCAATAATTGTTGATTGCAGATGTGTCTAGTAGTTCCCATTGATTTAGCTTGTAAAACGGGGAGAATGGCGCTAGGCTTACCGCACCGTGACGTCACTGCTGGAAGATGGCAGGAGGGAGGGGTTACTATATCTTGGTAAAAATGGCCGCTCCTGGACTCAGTGATCGCAACGAAAATTATTTTAATGATTGACGCTAAATTCATTAAATCACCGCAAACGTATTAGTTTTAGGTGTCAATAATGATCCATTGATTATTCCTTGCTGACTGGACTTTTCCTTTAAAACAGATAATCAAAAAACATATTAAACCAAAACAAGAGGAATACACACTTTATAAAAGTATTAGGTGATGGAAAAATTGTTCAATTTGCATGTACAGCATATTCTTTTAATCAGTACATTCTTTTAATCCAATCCTGCATGGAGATTACAACCTGATTTTTACCGCCAATATCTTTAGCTCTGTTGCTTTGTTAAAAGGATAAGCTTTTAAAATAGGGAACCAATTCAACTATTGTATAAAACATAACAATGGATATGTTCTCCTGAGTGCTGCCATCTGTTATTGTCATTTGTTGGAAATATGTATTCCTGGCTGTCTTATTGTTCGCCATTAGGAAGTCACCAGAGCTTAGAATAGAAAAAGCTTGACTATTTTCAGGTTAATACCTCATTGAGCAGCAGATGGAGCTGTCAGCGGAACAGGCTTGTGTTTAGCTTTATTACCTCTTGTCTTGCTTTCCCTGTCCCTATGACCCCCTATAGTCTACAGAGCCTGGGAGTTGCCATGTTGTAAAACAGCATATCGATTGATGGTATATAATTCAAAATCTTTAAGCAAATTTACCGTTTTTGAAGATTATTTTATTTATAAAAAAGGTCAAATTTGCTGTCTTTCTATTATGCTTTGAGAATGTTTTATATATGCAAATATGTTGGTGTATCTTTATTGGTGTGTATGGTGGATTTAAAACGAGGCAAAAATGTCTCGTTCCTTATGTCGCCTTCTGGCTTCTTCCATTTTGTAATACACTGTTATAGTTTTCTTTGTTTTCTAAGTAGTCTCATACAGCTTTAGTTATGATTAATTAGTATGAGGTTAGACAATTACTTTAGATTGCAGTTAAAAAAGGGGTATTCAAAATGTACCTAAAGCAAGCAATAATAATGGATTTCTCTGTGCCAGAAGGCTCCATTTAAGGCAGTGGTTCCCAAAGTGTGGGGCGCGCCCCCTAGGGGGGGCGCAATGCTATTGCAGGGGGGGCGCGGGAAGCAGTATGGATGAATGAAGAAAAAAAAAAAAAAAAAAAACAGCGCTTGCTTGACTGAGCATAATGGACAGTTGTGACACTGCAACCCAGATTTGAGAAGATCTGCAGCAACAAGCAGGCTCACTACAGCCACTGAAAAGATGGGAGGATTAAAGTACAAAGAAAAAACTCTCAGGGAGCTGTTCAATGTTTTCACTCCATTTTGCACAGAGGCTTTTTTAATGTATAGATTATAGCAAAGTTAAATATTGTTACAAAAAAAAAAAAAAAGAAATAAGTTTAAAATAACACAGACAACAAAGAATCCTCTTCTAATCTACATTATAGAACTATGAATAAAATACAGTTACACAAACGTGTTCCACTGTAAAGATGGTGTAGTTTGTTTTGTTGCAACCTGAAGTGTGAAATAAACTTCAGTGGAGTTTGAAAACAAAATATGTGTATAGGTTTATTATATGTGGTTGAACGATGTGTGTGCCCAGTTGATTTTTTTTTTTTTTTTGGGGGGGTCGGGGGGTTATGGGGGGGGTGGGGGGGCGTGGAAATTTAATTGTAATCCAAAGGGGGGCCCAGAACAAAATCTTTGGGAACCATTGATTTAAGGCCAGGAATTCAGGTAAGAAATGACCTTAAATATATGGTGGTGGTCGGACTATATGACCGGAAACCTGAAGTAAGTACGTCTACACGGGGATATACACTCACCGGCCACTTTATTAGGTACACCTGTCCAACTGCTCGTTAACACTTAATTTCTAAGCAGCCAATCAATTGGCGGCAACTCAGTGCATTTAGGCATGTAGACATGGTCAAGACAATGTCCTGCAGTTCAAACCGAGCATCAGTATGGGGAAGAAAGGTGATTTGAGTGACTTTGAACGTGGCATGATTGTTGGTGCCAGAAGGGCTGGTCTGAGTATTTCAGAAACTGCTGATCTACTGGGATTTTCACGCACAACCATCTCTAGGGTTTACAGAGAATGGTCCGAAAAAGAAAAAACATCCAGTGAGCGGCAGTTCTGTGGGCGGAAATGCCTTGTTGATGCCAGAGGTCAGAGGAGAATGGCCAGACTGGTTGGAGCTGATAGAAGGGCAACAGTGACTCAAAAAACCACCCGTTACAACCAAGGTGGGCAGAAGAGCATCTCTGAACGCACAGTACGTCGAACTTTGAGGCAGATGGGCTACAGCAGCAGAAGACCACACCGGGTGCCACTCCTTTCAGCTAAGAACAGGAAACTGAGGCTACAATTTGCACAAGCTCATCGAAATTGGACAATAGAAGATTGGAAAAACGTTGCCTGGTCTGATGAGTCTCGATTTCTGCTGCGACATTCGGATGGTAGGGTCAGAATTTGGCGTCTACAACATGAAAGCATGGATCCATCCTGCCTTGTATCAACGGTTCAGGCTGGTGGTGGTGGTGTCATGGTGTGGGGAATATTTTCTTGGCACTCTTTGGGCCCCTTGGTACCAATTGAGCATCGTTGCAACGCCACAGCCTACCTGAGTATTGTTGCTGACCATGTCCATCCCTTTATGACCACAATGTACCCAACTTCTGATGGCTACTTTCAGCAGGATAATGCGCCATGTCATAAAGCTGGAATCATCTCAGACTGGTTTCGAGAACATGACAATGAGTTCACTGTACTCAAATGGCCTCCACAGTCACCAGATCTCAATCCAATAGAGCATCTTTGGGATGTGGTGGAACGGGAGATTCGCATCATGGATGTGCAGACGACAAATCTGCGGCAACTGTGTGATGCCATCATGTCAATATGGACCAAACTCCCTGAGGAATGCTTCCAGCACCTTGTTGAATCTATGCCACGAATAATTGAGGCAGTTCTGAAGGCAAAAGGGGGTCCAACCCGTTACTAGCATAGTTAGTAGTTTTTCTACTTGAACATTATCAGATAATTATAAAACACAATAGAATTTCAACAACTAGAACTTCCTGCATCTACAAGCTGTAGCCTACTATGCGGTGGATTGAACCCCAGTCGGCCACAGCATCCTCTAACATGGGAGCTGGCTCAGAGCTCATCTGCCTGGCTGTGTGTTTCCTGGGT